ATAAATTAAATGTATAACTACGAAATTATATTTAATGAGCATAAGAAAATTTAATACTTAAAAAACTAATTTTTTAGAAATTAAAAACATATTCACAATAAAAAAATTCATGAAACATTAATATTTTAATATTAAAGAAAAACAATATATCAATATATTCTACATTTATTTATAAAGATTCATATATTTATTTGAATCTAAATCCAACACAATGTTAAAAAAATTAAATATTGATTTAAATTTGTAATGTATTCTTTTAAGTTAAATTTAACTAAATAATTATTTGACCTATCTAGTCAATAATAATAATAATAATTTGAGAACCAAATTATGATTTATGTATATATATTGAAAAAAAAAAAAAAATTTGGTGAAAAAAAGAAAAAAAACTTGAAAAATAAAAAAAAAATTTTAAAATAAACATATTTTTATAACATCATTTAATAAGTAATGTGTTAATTTTTAAAAAAATTAAATAGAAAAAACTCAAATCAATAAAATTTTAACGTACCAGTGGAACACCCCAAAATACCGATTGCTATATCAAAACACAACTAAAATAATTAATATTTAATCGAAACAAAATTAAATCTTCTATAATTTCAAATTAAGTTTAAAATTAATACATGCCAACCGTACCAATCATACAAAATTATATCGATAACCTTGCTCAACCCACTTTTGATGTATTCAGACTGCGAACGTTAGACGCTGACGTTTGGTTGAATAGCTATCTGTTGTCGATGAGAAGTGCTAAGCAAAAGACTAAAATAGTGAATCAGGCTTTAAGACTGGATGGTTTCACTGATGTCGGAATTTTGATCCTTACTAATACTTTGGAAAAACTCTCTCTCCTCAAATTGTAAGCAATTTAAAAAACAAAATTAGTATTGAATATAAAGATGATGAATTTGGTAGGCAAGGTCTCATATATAAGTGTATTGTTAGATCTTCATATTTGAGTTAATGTCAACTATAGTTCCTCTAATTTTAGATTTTGTTTATTATCATCTTTATACTTACAAATCATGTGTCCTCCTCCTACTTCTCCAAACTATATTATTGTTCTCCCTCTACTTTAATTTTCAATTAAATTTACCTCCTCCTAACACCGTTACCTCCCTTCCCTAATACAGTTCGTAATAGTAATACCATTAAATGCAATAGTTTATCTTTTTATTATATTGTTTTTGTAAGCTATAAAATTCTATAGTATTTTGTTCATGTGATGCCACATGTTTAATTAACATAAATAAAAATTGCCACTCTTATCAATTTTGTACTTGCTCTCTTTTTTACTTTCAAAACTATTAATAACAGAAATTTTTTGTACAAACAATTACATATTTTAGTATTGACTTTTAGGGAAAAGAATCATCCACTTATAATAATTTAAATAAGAAATGGGAACAAAAAACAACAAACTTCTGTCTTTTAAATTTACAAATAAAGAATTTCAAATAATTGAAGACAACATTAATAATCTATCAAATTCTCAACTTAGATTATCATATTCATATCCTGCTATACTAAAATTCATACAAATAAGAAACTTAAAAAGAAAAAATACATTAAAAGGAAGATTTGGTTCTTCTTGCAAGCCGAATTCCAAATCCTCCTACTCACATTGTCCAATCTCATATTTTTCTTCTATGGACTTTTTGTTATTGTGGCCTAACATATGCAAATACAAAATCAGATCAAAAACAGATAACGAAGTGATTTGAATCAGAGTTAAATTAATAGTGATCGAAGATCGTTACTTGAACCTAAGAGCGATGGAGATCACTTTCATTGAAACTAGTGATAACCTTCTTGATGAAGTAGCGAGTAGAACTGAAATTGATGGGAGCGGTAATTTTTTTATTTATGTTGGTGGAACATGTGGCATCATCAGCAAGATATCATGAAATTTTATGGGACCACAAAAATAATGTAACAAAAAAACATAAATGATTACATTTAATAATATTATAAATGGTGTTAGGGGAGGGAGGTAAATGTAATGGAAAATCAAAGTAGAGGCGAAAAAACAGCAGTATAGTTTGGGAGAGTACACGGAGGACTTTAAATTATTTGTAAAAAGACAATAAACAAAAATTAGAAATAGAGAGACTATAATTGACTTTAACCCAATATATTTAGATGAAACCTTTTTTCCAGGGGGAGATGGATATCATGTGAGGACTATTCCCTCAAGAACTGATAAAAACACTTATGTTTGCACGAAAGAAATCCATTGTCTAGTTGGTGTAATATGGACAAACAAACTTAGATCATCTCCAACGCTCGCTCAATTGTGTTGTTGTTGTTGTTTTTATTTTTATTTTTATTTTTATTTTTATTCTCCTCTAAATGGATTAGAACATAAATTCAAGCCACGTTAGAGCAAAACATAACACAAACAATGATTAAGCTTGGCTCTCTAAACAGAGCTGAGCTTGGTCAAAAAAATTTGCTACAAAAGCCCAAAAATGATGCGGTGTTGGCCATTTCAAAGTAAATTTAACCGCATGGTTGGACTACGGATATGCGCATGTGCGCAATTCAAGTGGTGGCAGGCAACCTCAACCCAGCCGTTGAATCCAATGGCTGTTTTTTTTTTTTGAAAATTTTTAAATTTAACTATTTTATTTAAATATATAAAATGTGATTAGAATAAAATAATAGTTATGTGATTTTCCAAAAAACTTTGTTTTAAATATGTGTAGGCGGAAAGTATTTTGTTAGGTGTTCTATTTGAGATAAGTTAAATATATAGAAATGTAAATTTTATATAAAACAATATTAATTTTAGTGATATGACACTAAAATAAGCTTTTGAGATATTCTCCATTATACATACTCTCATAGAGATTCTCGTTTCAATAAGCCCTTATGCAGAAGAAGGGAAGAAGTTGCCACAGGTGAAGAAGTCATATAGATATGGACAATGATACATTTACACTCCTCCATTACACACTTCATTACACACACTTACTCTCTATTACTTTTCGGTAACTCCCAAACGACCTCCAATGAAACCTGCAATTTCACCCACTTCTCCCTCAAGCTTTAGAAAAAAGAACTTGAAGTCTTGAATTGAATCATAAACCCTCCAACACCCATAAGAGTAAAAGATACTAAACAAAACTATGAAAGCTCAACAGTGCAAAGAGTACAAAGTTAATCAATCAACATAGCACTTCAAACCCCCAACAAAAATAGTTCAATAATTGAGAAAATTAAAAATTATCCAGATTAAAAAAACTATGAAACCATGAAGATCTAGAGAAGACTGCACCCATTAAAAAAGATAAAAGAAAGATCTAAATAGGGGCATACCGTCATAGTGGAGAGTGCTGGGTTCCTAAATGCAATTTCATCCACTTCTCCCTCAAGCTTTAGAAAAAAGGACTTGAAGCCTTGAACTAAATCATAAAACCCCCAACACCCATCAAAGTAAAAGATACTAAAGGAAACAATGAAAGCCCAATAGTGCAAAGAGTACAAAGTTGATCAATCAACATAACACTTCAAACCCCCAACAAAAATGGTTGAGAAATTGAGAAAATTAACAACTATCCAAATTAAAAAACCATGAAACCATGAAGATCTAGAGAAGACTATGCCCATTAAAAGAGATAAAAGAAGATCTAAGTAGGGGCATATTGCCATGGTGGAGAGAAGAGTTCGAAGGAACCCAGGCTATTGGGTTCCTAAATCATTATCTTCAACCTCTAAATCCTTTCCTTTTCTCTCCCCTTCCCCAACACCAGATCTAGGTTCCTTTGTAGGTTCCCACTTGCTCAACTTCATGCTCTGTGTTGATGAAACTGATGATGATGAAGAAGAGGAAAATAAGGCTGTAAATGATTAGGATGAAGATGGAGGTGAGGAGGAAGATGGATTTGGTGAGGACGATGAACAACGAAAAGGAGAAAGGAAAGGAGGGAGAAAAAGAAAGGGTTAGACTGGGTATGTTTGGAGTTAACAAAATGTGACGAAGAGTGAGGGAGTGTGTGTAACAAAGTGTGTAATGGAAGAGGGCGTTTGAAGCATTTTCCTATAGATATATATAATGATCTATTTGAGATTGTTATATGTTTGCCACGAACTCATGCATTATTGAGGTCTCAAATTGCTTTGGTGCTTGAAAATCTCGAAGAAGTATCCTCGGGGAAGACACTCTAATACTCAAATTAGCAATATTCAATATTCTAGAGAAAAAAAACTCTTAAGATTGAGATATTGCAGAGAGAGAAGCGTAATGGAGTTATTGTCTTTGTGGCTCTTTTATCTTTGAATAATGAGAATTACGTTGAAATGCCTCAAGATTCCCCTCAGCTATGATTGAGACATTCCCTACCTTTGCAAACACATGTTCCACATTTTTGAAGCAAAATTTTAATGTAACAACCAGTATTTACCGTCTCTCTTTTCTGTTACAAAGACCATATTTTAATTGTTCAGTATCAGGAAACATAAAATATTAATTAAAATTATTTTATTTATAATTGTTGGAACAAATTGCTTGAGATTTTGGTTAACCCACTACAAGATTAAGAAATTAATGGAATAAAAAAAATGCACCATCACAAGAAAGATAAAATGTGCGTGTTTCAGCTCTAATTTAATTGAGCCTACGTCCACGGGCACTCACAAGGAAAAATTCACTATTAAAATAGGGAGAGACAATTTGTGGTACTTTCAGAAAAATACCCAATCCCCAATTACACCCAAATCTTACTCACAGTATTTTTGAATGCGAGACACACTCAAAACACTTAGCAAAGTAATTTTAACCACTCTGCTCTTGCTCACCCTCACCCAAAGCACTTACAAAACTCTTGTATTTTCTAGAGCTCACTTTGCTTTGGATTGCTCTTTTTGGTGTGATTTGCTGAATGGCCAAATGGCCTGTTATAGCCAAATGCCAACCACCCACAATGAATGCAATGGGCTCCAAAGTCATAATCCAACCATGCAAAATAAATGTTGCATGGACAAAGTTGCAGCAACCAAATTTCCATTTCAAAGGCTGCCATGAGACTTCCAATTTTTCAACAAAATTAGGCTGCCATGAGATTTCCCATGCAACCAAATTTCAAAGGTTGAAATTTGCATGCTTTTTCAACCACCATGTAGAACACACATGCCTCAACAATCTCCACCTGGGCGAGCATTCAAAAAATAAGATTCAGGACCAATAGCTTCATTCCCTTGGTGCCATAATGCCCCGAGGGGCATTAAGCACTTTCGACACTAATCAAGTCCAAGCAATGCTTGAACTTGATTCCACTTACCGTCTTTGTCATGATATCCACAGGAGTCTCGTCAGTTGATATCTTTTCAATGAGCACATCTCCATTGGATATAACTTCTCGAACAAAGTAATACCGAACTTGAATATGTTTGGTTCTCTCGTGGTACATGGTGTTCTTTGTCAAGTGAATGGCACTTTGACTATCACAAAACACCATCATCTCATTTTTTTCTACCCCGAGATCACTGACCAAACCCTTTAGCCATAATGCTTCCTTTATTGCCTCAGTAATTGCCATGTACTCTACCTCAGTTGTTGACAAGGCGACTGTTGATTGCAATGTAGCTTTCCAACTAATGGCACACCCTAAGAGAGTAAAAACATATCCTGTAGTTGATCTCCTTTTGTCCAAATCACCAGCAAAATCAGAGTCGACAAATCCGACTACATTTCCACTTGGATTAGCACTCCGATCATAGACTAGTCCAACATCTATTGTGCCTTGTAAATATCGGAGGATCCACTTCACAGCTTCCCAGTGTCCTTTACCTGGATTAGCCATAAACCGACTAACCACACTAACTGCATGTGAAATATCAAGACGAGTACATACCATAGCATACATTAAGCTCCCAACAGGACTCGCATAAGGAACATGCGCCATAAACTTCTTCTCCTCCTCCGTTTCTGGTGACAAATTTGATGAAAGCTTAAAATGTGCTCCCAAAGGAGTAGTCACAGCCTTAGCTTCATGTAAGCCAAACTGCTCAAGTACTTTTTCGATGTACTTCTTTTGAGAGAGAAACAATTTACCTCCCTTGCAGTCCGTGTGAATCTCCATTCCTAAGATCTTCTTAGCTGCAACCAAGTCTTTCATCTCAAACTCACCACTAAGCTGCTTCTTCAAATCATCAATGATTAACATGCTTTTGGCAGCAATAAGCATATCATCAACATACAAGCAAGTAAACCCAAGAACCATCTCCAAGCTTTTTATGATAGACACAACTATCATAGTTTCTCCGAGTGAATCTACTCTTAACCATGAAGTTGTCAAATCGTTTGTACCACTGCCGAGGTGACTGTTTCAATCCATATAAGGATTTCTGGAGCAAACAAACATGATCTTCTTTTCCTGAAACTATGAACCCTTCTGGTTGAGACATATAAATGTGTTCCTCCAACTCACCATGCAAGAAAGCAGTCTTTACATCAAACTGCTCTAACTCTAGATCATATAAAGTAACCATGGCAAGTAAAACACGGATAGAGTTGTGTTTCACCACAGGAGAGAATACCTCATGGAAATCAATACCCTTTCGTTGTGTGAAACCCTTTGCAACCAATCTGGCCTTGAATTTGGGTGTCTCTACCCCCGGGATTCCTTCTTTTCTCCTGAAGACCCATTTGCATCCAACAATTCTTTGTCCCTTTGGTGGCTTCACAAGCTTCCATGTATGGTTCTTATGTAGAGACTCAATCTCCTCTGTCATGGCAGCAAGCCAATAAGGAGATTCTTGTTTGGTAATTGCTTCCCGATACGTGTTGGGATCCTCAGCCTCTACTGGTTCTATAACTGATAGAGCATAGGCAACATAATCTGTATAGCCATATCTCTGAGGTGGTTTGGTCTCCCTCCTCTGTCTACCAGTAGCAATATTATACTGTTGTTGTGTTTGTTCAGGTGCCTCCATCTCCATTGGAGTATCTGTTAGCTTTGAATCTTGCACCTCATCTAGATTCTCTTGGACAATACTATTGTCCCGCACTGCCTTTTTTGGAGTTGTTGCTTCAAACTCCACCTGCTTGCTAACTCCATGGTCTGGCTTTGCAATTTTAGACTCCTCTTTTGCCTTTTGGAGCATAACAGACTCATCAAAGGTTACATCTCTGCTCATGAGGAATTGAGGTGACTTCTGAACACACCACAGTCTATAGCCTTTTACCCGGAAGTGTACCCTAAAAATACGCACTTCACTGCCCTTGGCTCAAGTTTACCATCCCTAACATGAGCATACACAGGACAACCAAATATCCTCAACTGTGAATAATCAACAAGAGAAGCTGACCATAATTCTTCTGGAGTCTTTAATCCAATTGCTGTGGATGGAGACCGATTTACAAGATAGCTAGCATGATTGACGGCTTTTGCCCATAAGTCCTTTGATAATCCAACATTTGAGAGCATACACTGTGCCCTCTCCAAGAGTGTACGATTTATCCTTTCTGCAACACCATTTTGTTGTGGTGTCATCTTGACAGTGTGATGTCTCACAATTCCATTATTCTTGCAAAAAGTATCAAACTCACCACTACAATACTCAAGACCATTATCTGTTATTAGATGCTTGATTTGTTTTTCAGTTTGCTTCTCAATCAGCGTCTTCCACTACTTAAAGGTGAGGAACACGTCACTCTTACTCTTTAAGGTGTATACCCACACCTTTCTTGAATAATCATAGATGAAAGTCAACATATACACAGCTCCACCTTTTGATGCAACAGGCGAGGGACCCCACAAGTCTGAGTGAATGCAATCAACTGTGCCTTGAGTTCGATGAACTCCTTTGCCAAACTGCAACCTGCACTGCTTGCCATAAACACAATGCTCACAAAGGTCTAGATTGCCAATTTTCTGGCCACATAGAAGACCCCGCTTGCTTAGCTCCATCATCCCTCTTTCACTCATTTGCCTAAGTCGCATATGCCATAACCTAGTTACATCTTTATCTGGACTGCCTTGAAGTTGACACAGCATATGTGCCATTGACTGTGCTTCTTTGTGAGTGATAAAAACCACCAACTTTCTTCCCTTTCAATATTACGAGAGCTCCTTTAGAGACTTTGAGAACTCCACCTTCACAAGAGTATCGACAGCCCTTGGAGTCAAGCTTACTCATGGATATGAGATTTTTCTTCAAACCCGGCACATGACGAACCTTGAATGTTCTGACCATCCCATCATACATCTTGATCTGGATGTTGCCAATTCCAACAATAGGCAATGTTGTATCATCACCAAGAACCACCGTGCCAGTGGCTGGTTTATATGTTTCAAACCAGTCACGTCATGGGCATACATGGAATGAACAACCCGAATCTAAAATTCATTCCTCACCAGAGGAGTTTGTAGAGATAGATAGAACACAATCTTCATCATCTAAATTATCACTAAAACTGGCAATGTTGGCATCACCAGATTTTTCAGCTTTCTTCTCCTTGAGCTTGGGACAATTTTTCTTAAAATGTCCCGTCTCATTGCACTCGTAACATCGAGCATGCTTGGCTTTTGATTTGGATCGAGACTTTCCTCGCTTGTTGAAAGTTCTGTTATTTTGTCTACCTCTTATGACCAATCCTGCTGCTTGATCACCACTCTTGTCTCCAGACACCTTCTTCTTCAATTCTCTTGAATTCAGGGCCGCCTTGACATCTTCCATAGAGAGTTGATCTCTACTATGAAGATGAGTTTCAACAAAGCTGTCATAAAAGTCAGGCAATAAGCACAAAACAATAATTGCTTGATCTTTATCTTCTATCTTCACATCAATATTCTTCAAGTCTAAAATGAGCTTGTTGAACTCATCAAGATGGTCTTTGATGGAACCACCTTCATTCATATTGAGGGTGAACAACCGTTTCTTTAGATATAATCGGTTAATGACTAATTTGGTTAAGTAAAGGGCTTCCAGCTTCGACCATAATGCAGAAGTTGAATTTTCTTCTGCAACCTCCCCCAAGACTTCATCAGAAAGTGAGAGTTGAATTGCACTCAGCGCCCGCTCCTTCAAGTCTATCTTCTCTTCCTTTGGTAGAGTTTCCAGTAGCCTGCCTTCCTTTTCTAGTGCTTTCCATAGCCCTTACTGTATTAGCATGGCCCGCATCTTCAACCTCCATAAGCTGAAATTTTTGCCACCATTAAATTTGTCAATCTCGTACTTGGCTTCGGATGCCATCACGATTAAAACAATTTCTCAAGCACTAACCACCGCCGTAGCTTTGATACCAGTTTGTTGGAACAAATTGCTTGAGATTTTGGTTAACCCACTACAAGATTAAGAAATTAATGGAATAAAAAAAATGCACCACCACAAGAAAGACATAATTTACGTGGTTTAGCTCTAATTTAATTGAGCCTATGTCCGTGGGCACTCATAAGGAAAAATTCACTATTAAAATAGGGAGATACAATTTGTGGTACTTTCAGAAAAATACCCAATCCCCAATTACATCCAAATCTTACTCACAGTATTTTTGAATGTGAGACACACTCAAAAAACACTTAGCAAAGTAATTGTAACCACTCTACTCTTGCTCACCCTCACCCAAAGCACTCACAAAACTCTTGTATTTTCTAGAGCTCACTTTGCTTTGGATTGCTCTTCTTGGTGTGATTTGCTGAATGGTCAAATGGCCTTTTATAGCCAAATGCCAGCCACCCACAATGAATGCAATGGGCTCCAAAGTCATAATCCAACCATGCACAATAAATGTTGCATGGACAAAGTTGCAGCAACCAAATTTCCATTTCAAAGGTTGCGATGAGACTTCCAAATTTTCAACAAAATTGGGCTGCCATAAGATTTCCCATGCAACCAAATTCCAAAGGCTGAAATTTGCATGCTTTTTCAACCACCATGCAAAACACACATGCCTCAACAATAATTATGTAGAAAAACCGTTGTAAAAGCAATCTTAAAGGCACCTTTAGTGGCTGATGGATAAATATTGCATTTTCGTGGCTATAATGGATAATGCATTGATTATATTTTTAAGTTCCTCTCTTTTTTTATTTTGTTCCAACCTTGCGATATTTGAAAGCCATGTTAACCCCAGCTAATTTGAAATTAAGCCACGTAAACGGTAAATCCCTCTCTTTAGGCACATAAAAATAGCTCAACATGTTATTAGCAAGTACAAAGTGAGGAGTAAAACAACGGCTAATGTCATGAATCCTGTTGACACCCATATGACTATTCTGAGAGTTTGATTTGAGCAGGAAACTTTAGCATTGTTTGTGGAAAGAATCAGCAGGACCAAAGCAGAGAACAAAGAGGCAAACATTGAAAGAATTCCTGATTTGGAGATGAGCTTGCTTGTCATGGAAGAATGAGTTTTTGGAACTCCTGCAAGGAAGCCGACAATCCCAGTTACAGATACTGAGATAATAAGGCATGCAACTTTCACACCATTTTTCATGTTTCCTGCTGGACCTTCAGTAGCCACAGTTCGCAGATTCAGACTTTGCAAAGCCACTCTCGGCAACATTTCGATGTCCTCTTCTATCGGGATCTGATTAGCCTTTCTTTCCTGAAATTGCACCACACACACACGCGCACACACACACACACATATTTAATAACACCTTTTTCAAACAATGATCCAGAGAGCTGAAGTCTTAACAAATTAAAGTAATTAAAGTTTAATATATGTTCTTAGCCTTCTGTGGGATTTAGCTTTCATATTTGTATGCTCCACATTTTATTATGTTACAATAAATGAAATGCTAAAATTAAGAGATATTCAAAAATGATTCTGCACCTCTTCAGCTAGTTGTGCTTGAAGGTTATGAAGGCACTCTGCTGGCAAATTTGGTAGATTGTGGATCTCTGATATCTCAGTTTGACATGAAGGCTGACCTAGGTCAGAACTAGGCACTTTAATTTCATTCCCCTTGTCCTCGAACTGCATCTCTGTCTTCTGTAAAGTTGCCAAAGCACATATTCATTATTTCATCATTTATGTTAAAGCAAGATGGAACACATATATATGATTCACTACCTCGTCTGCCTGGTAGTCTCTTTGCTGTTCAAGTGTTAATTTAATGAATAGTATGGCAAAAAGTACCGCTACTGCCAGAAATGGGATTATTGCCGTGGAATCTAGATGTAACTTACTGCAGGAATACAACAGGTAATTAATTAATGCACCCCCATCACATAAACATAAACACAAGTTAGAAAACTAAAAATTAATTAAGACTTATGTCTTATCTAGATATTTTTAATTATAATTACATGATAAATAAGATATAATTGAAAATCATATTATATTTCACAAATTTTATAATTGTGATTGAATATTTGATTTTTTGCCTTCTTTACATATAACAGATATATATTGTTTTTTTGTTTGAACGCAATCAAAACATGCAATTTATTTATTTTTATGTAAAACTAAATTATAGAATAGGAGATACTCAATTTTTATACCAAAACTACTGTTTACCAGAATACATATATAACAAGTATTAAAACCGAATGCCACATTCAAACTGTTGGAATGTTTGTGGCATGCTTGACGCTTATATTACTTAATTTGATGCAAACGTAATATATGCTAGAAGCACTTTTCGAGGCCGAGAAGTGTAATAGAAAGAAGCAGAAATTGAGAAATACGAAAAATTGAAACCTAGAGACCTTGGGTTGATGAGTGCTTAATTCATGGCTTATAGAGTAGCACAGGAAGAGAAACAAGTAACAGAACTTGTAATCAAGGCTTCTTCACTTTTTACATGAATGAGATGAAAAGCAACCTAACCCCTTTTATAGCCGGTCAGAGGAACTATTTCTCACTTACACTTTTTATTATCCCCAGTTGTCTGATTATTATTATTTTTTAAAATTGTCGTTTAATATTCTTTCTACTTTTATTTTGATTGGCTCACTTATTAAATAAAGATGATATGAATTAAATATTTTATTTTTATTTTTTAAAAAAATGAAAATAAAAGTATTTTAATTTATTATTATATGTGATGAAATAAAAGTACATTATG